GGGTATGAGACCGGGGGTCCAGTACTAAACCAACCATGTGGCATTGCATTATTCCATCTTTTTTATATGTATATATATATTCATTACTGGGTAAGTCAGACCTAGATGCGGTGGTGGGCGAGTCCATCGTAGGTAATTAGCTAAACAAGCCCTTTGAGGAAGGATTGTTAGTCACCACAGTACAAGACCCAGTCAACTACATGATGTCAACATGGCGCCACGTAGTTCGTCAAACATCGCATCGGTGACACCCACACACACACGCACACATACACAGATATATATATGTGTGTGTGTGTGTGCACGTATATATTTATGTGTATATATGTGTCTATATATATATGTATATGTAGGTATATAGTATATATGCATATATATATATGCACATTTATACACGCATGTGTGTGTGTATATATATACATGTATATATATATAAATATATATATACATATGTATGCATGTGTGTTTATATACATGTATATATATAAATATATATATATATATAATATATATATATATATATATATGTATATATATGCACATTTATATATGCATGTGCGTGTGTGTGTATATACATTTCTACATATATATATATATATATATATATATATATATATATATGTATATATATATGTATGTATATATATATATGCACATAACTGACATTCCGATGTTCTTACCATTTTCCTGTCTCGGTGAGTCGTGTGTGGTGACGAATGCCTGCGCTCCTGCTCTTATATACTGCCATGAGAAGCAATAATCACTCAGTCTTGCAGTGTCATCGGTTCGTTGTCGCTTGTCAAGCACTTGGAAAAGAGAAATATCTTAATTATTCCAAGATTTCAGAAATTACTTGTGCGTTAATTTCTCCGAATATTGATACTCGATTATGTAAAGAACACAGGGCAATGTTATCTCTATAGTTTTGCTACACGAATGGGTTCTAAAGTGGACCTGGAGAGTAGCCACAACTAATCTATGATCAGTTCCACAGAAATCGGCACTTCGATACACCCTGCAATTCTGGAAGGTTCTCCATCGAGTGCTAACAAAGACGTGCTCGATTTCCTTGGGCACACTACCCGTATCGCTGGACCATGTCCAACGATGCAGGTCAGAACGCTGATACTAGGAGCCAGAAATCCTCAATTCCAGGGACCTAGCAAAGTCACGGAAAAGGAGGCTATTTTCGCTGCCAGCATCAGCTCCTAAGCCTTGAGGATCGACAGACATCTCATAGCCAGCTCGATCACAACCGGATACCACATTGAAGTCACCCAGAACAATACGAATATCTCGCCGAGGACAGCTGTCTGACACAGATGCAAGTTTGGCGTAAAACATCTCTCTCAACTCAAGTTTATATACATCCATAGGAGTGTACACAGCAATAAGAGACATGAAGCCAAATGATAGCTTCAGTCTCAATACCATAATACACTCATCGACTGGAGTGACCTCTACTACCAAGGGTTGGAGTCTGCTGGAGATGGCTATGGCTACTTCCTGGAGATGGTGGCCATCGTTGCAGTGTATAGGTGTAGCACGCCTATACTAATCGTGTTGCTGCCAGGTCTTCTCACCTCCGAGAGAGCAGTCACCTCAACTCTCGGTTGCTTCAATTCCCTCGACAGTAGTGGTAACCAATCGTCCTGTCATAAGGAACGGACGTTCCAAGCCCCCACCCTGACAGCCCGCCTGAGGTCTAGCATCGGGCAGTCACTCCAGATAGGCGCCACCTCTACCACTCCTGCCACCCCTACCGACGCTGCCCCATATAGAGAAGGTTGGCTGGCTGCAGGGCTCCCTAGGGCTTTCCCCCACAAGAATCACACCAGGTTGGCGGCCGCCAAGACCCAGATGGGATAACTGGTAATCCTCGCTCCCTACCCGAGTCCCAGCGGTCGCCAACCCAGAGGGACCCACAGCCTGCCATTCTTACTATGTGGGAGGGACTTTAGCCCTCCCACCAGCACCAACAACTATACGTTTTGCTGCCAGTAGGTTATCTCTGGGAGGCAGACTGGCAAGGCCTGCCTTCCCACAGCCGCCCATTAACCCCAGGGGGCACAGGGGTAGGTGTTAGTACGAAGCCAGGGCGTGTCCACATGCCGATGGGCTGTGACTCTATACCTTTAGGGCTTCCTGTTGCTCCAAGAGCCTCCACACCAACAGTTCAAATCACCTCGAGCATGAATATATATATATATATAAATTTGAACAATTATTTCAGTTTTTCCAAGAGATTTCTAAAATTACTGAAACCTTCTGAATGCTCGTGTTCCTTAAGATGTATTATCATCAGACCTTACAAATTAGATGCTATGAATACCTTTACTACACTATAATTCACATGTATTATGCTTTTACTTACAGAAGCTGATAAAGTGGTGCTAGTCGGCACAGCTTGCTTGGCTGTCTACTGCCAGGCGGGAGGACATAGAGGCGGTGGACATGAAGGAGGGGGAGGATATGAGGGAGGTGGTCGAGGAGGAGGATGGTATTGAGGCGGTGGGCACGTAGGAGGATACGGAGGCGGTGGACACAGAGGAGGCGGATACGGAGTCGGTGGACACGGAGGAGGAGGAGGATATGGAGGCGGTGGACACAGAGGAGGCGGATACGGAGTCGGTGGACACGGAGGAGGAGGATACGGAGGCGGTGGACACGGAGGAGGAGGATACGGAGGCGGTGGACACGGAGGAGGAGGAGGATATGGAGGCGGTGGACACAGAGGAGGCGGATACAGAGTCGGTGGACACGGAGGAGGAGGATACGGAGGCGGTGGACACGGAGGAGGAGGAGGATATGGAGGCGGTGGACACGGAGGAGGAAGATACGGTGGAGTAGGAGGTACCACAAGCAACAACTTCAATCTTGCTAGTCCTAAAGGTGGAGGATATGGAGGCGGTGGGCACGGAGGAGGAGGATACGGAGGCGGTGGACACGGAGGAGGAGGATACGGAGGCGGTGGACACGGAGGAGGAGGAGGATACGGAGGCGGTGGAGGAGGTGGATAAGGCTATGGGAAGTAATGGTGTGCAAGAATGTTCCAGCAAATGTAAAGTGAGTTTGAATACAGTGTATGCATGATGCGAATATAAATGTGTAAAAAAAACGATTATCTCAATTAATCCTGACTTTATTTCGTAGCTGACAACCCAAACCGAGAAATAGAACACAAAACCATAATCCTAAAAAAAAAATGCTCCGTGAAATTTGCTCCTTTTAACGCCTTCTATTGTGAACCTTAATCCATTGAACCCTCCCTTCTGTTAATCCAAAACTGGATATTTAAGTTCTCATTTCTTTTATTTAAGATCCTTTCTAAAATCCGAATTCCATACCACAGCAGTCTGAGTCTCCTGTAGTTTTTACATTCCATGGGGTCAATTTTTTGACTATAGTGTTTTGTACATTTTGTTTGTTTTTCTTTTTGTACAATCTTTTTCAACATTTTTTTGGCCGCCGATATCTCTTTCATCAGTAATCATGCTCTTAGTAATCAAGTTTACATTCAAAGTACTCCAATCACTCCCTGAACTGCTTTCATGAATTTTTGGTTCTTTATGTCTTCTTGTTTGGTTCAAATGAATGGTTGCCCGCTCTAACAAGGTCATCTGTATGCAAGTTTCCTGCGAAATTTCACCTGTTCCATCCGGCATATAACCCAGAATATCAGTATATACAACAATAATTTTAAACAAATGGTAATTAAAACGTTTCCGGGTTACAAGACAGTTTCGCGTATATTTAAACATACTTATATATTATATACATATATATATATATGTGTGTGTGTAAGTGTGCGTGTGTGTGTGTGTGTGTACACTCACACACACACACACACACATATATTTATATATATATATATATATATATATATATATATATATATACATATATGTCTATATGTATGCATATATGAATATATATTTATATATGTATTCATGTGTGTGTATATATATATATATATATATATATGTATATGTATATACATGTCTATATATGTATGTGTGTATATATGTGTATATACGTATATGTATATGTGTATATATGTATACACACACACACACACACACATATATATATATATATATATATATATATATATATATATAAGTATATATAGATATACATATATAGATTTGTTTTTATATATGAGTACATGTATATACATACACACGCACACACACACACACACACACATATATATATATATATATATATATATATATATATATATATATATATATATATATATATATATATATATATATATATATGTATGTATATACGTGTATATATAATATCAGAGATGACGATAATGGGAATAATAACAATAACTAATAATATTAGGATAGTAATCCTAATAATAATCATAACAATGATAATAAAAATGATGATAGTAACAATGATCACCAGATAATAATATTGAGCTAATGATAATAATGAGCATAATAAAAGAAAACAATGATAATGATAACAATTATAGTAATGACAATAACAATAATCATGATAACAACAAAGGCTCCGTGTAATTTGCTTCTCCAAACACATTCTATTATGAATGCTATTCATCTGACATATATTCAGAATCAAGGCATCGTTCGTTATACTACAAGATGAAAGCAAAGTATAATTTCTTTGGTAATTAATAGAAAATAATCCTTCCTCCTCCGTGTCCACCGCCTCCATATCCTCCTCCTCCGTGTCCACCGCCTCCGTATCCTCCTCCTCCGTGTCCACTGCCTCCGTATCCTCCTCCTCCTCCGTGTCCACTGCCTCCGTATCCTCCTCCTCCTCCGTGTCCACCGCCTCCGTATCCTCCTCCACCGTGTCCACCGCCTCCATATCCTCCTCCTCCGTGTCCACCGCCTCCATATCCTCCTCCTCCGTGTCCACCGCCTCCATATCCTCCTCCTCCGTGTCCACCGCCTCCGTATCCTCCTCCTCCTCCGTGTCCACCGCCTCCATATCCTCCTCCTCCGTGTCCACCGCCTCCATATCCTCCTCCTCCGTGTCCACCGCCTCCATATCCTCCTCCTCCGTGTCCACCGCCTCCGTATCCTCCTCCTCCTCCGTGTCCACCGCCTCCGTATCCTCCTCCTCCGTGTCCACCGCCTCCGTATCCTCCTCCTCCGTGTCCACCGCCTCCGTATCCTCCTCCTCCTCCGTGTCCACCGCCTCCATATCCTCCTCCTCCGTGTCCACCGCCTCCGTATCCTCCTCCTCCGTGTCCACCGCCTCCATATCCTCCTCCTCCTCCGTGTCCACCGCCTCCATATCCTCCTCCTCCTCCGTGTCCACCGCCTCCATATCCTCCTCCTCCGTGTCCACCGCCTCCATATCCTCCTCCTCCGTGTCCACCGCCTCCATATCCTCCTCCTCCGTGTCCACCGCCTCCATATCCTCCTCCTCCGTGTCCACCGCCTCCATATCCTCCTCCTCCGTGTCCACCGCCTCCATATCCTCCTCCTCCGTGTCCACCGCCTCCATATCCTCCTCCTCCGTGTCCACCGCCTCCATATCCTCCTCCTCCGTGTCCACCGCCTCCATATCCTCCTCCTCCGTGTCCACCGCCTCCATATCCTCCTCCTCCGTGTCCACCGCCTCCGTATCCTCCTCCTCCTCCGTGTCCACCGCCTCCATATCCTCCTCCTCCGTGTCCACCGCCTCCATATCCTCCTCCTCCGTGTCCACCGCCTCCATATCCTCCTCCTCCGTGTCCACCGCCTCCATATCCTCCTCCTCCGTGTCCACCGCCTCCATATCCTCCTCCTCCGTGTCCACCGCCTCCATATCCTCCTCCTCCGTGTCCACCGCCTCCATATCCTCCTCCTCCGTGTCCACCGCCTCCATATCCTCCTCCTCCGTGTCCACCGCCTCCGTATCCTCCTCCTCCTCCGTGTCCACCGCCTCCATATCCTCCTCCTCCGTGTCCACCGCCACCATATCCTCCTCCTCCGTGTCCACCGCCTCCGTATCCTCCTCCTCCGTGTCCACCGCCTCCGTATCCTCCTCCTCCTCCGTGTCCACTGCCATATCCTCCTCCTCCGTATCCTCCACCACCATATGCTCCTCCTCCGTGTCCACCGCCTCCATATCCTCCTCCTCCGTGTCCACCGCCTCCATATCCTCCTCCTCCGTGTCCACCGCCTCCATATCCTCCTCCTCCGTGTCCACCGCCTCCATATCCTCCTCCTCCGTGTCCACCGCCTCCATATCCTCCTCCT